CACCCCCATTGAAGTTACGATTTCGTCACTGCTTAACATTTCGAAGCCCGGTTCACACGAGTCACAGTTAAACCACTCTCTTATATTTTCCTCGTTGACTTCTTCACCACCATGAACTTGGTTAGCCACTTTTGTCAATTTTATGGCTATCTCATTTTCACTGAATCCAGTGAATCCATGGATTTCGTCATCTTCATTAGTGATGAAAGGCATCAGTTTCTTCCATGAATTTTTCAATACAGATGGCTTTACTGTATCCCACGCTGTTGAAATCTCGTATATGGCATCTAATACTGAAAAGGACTTCCAGAAACACGTCAGATCATTGCCTTCATCGATGTACTTTTGTAGCAAATTTGATCTGTAGATTCTCTTCATACTTGAGATAACTCCTTGATCCATTGGTTGGATAAGTGCGGTAACATTAGCGGGAAAATATTTCACAAAAATATTTCCATCATCTGACCTCAGGAGACTTTCGTTAGGATGTGAGGGCGCATTGTCAATGAGGAGCACAGCTTTCTCAGGTAGGCCTTGGGATTTTAGATGGTCACGAACTTGAGGCACGAATTTAAAATCAAACCATTCTTTAAATATCGCTCTATTCATCCAAGCTACTTTCTGGTTAAAATAATGGATAGGCAGACTTGAAGCTACTGTTCCTTTAAAAGAGCGTGGTCTTTTCGCTTTGCCGATAACTACTGGTATTAGTTTGTGTGTTCCTGATGCATTAGAACAGCACAAGACTGTCAATCTCTCCTTACTGGATTTGTGACCTGGAGCCTGTCTTTCATTTTGAAATGCCAATGTTCTGGTTGGCAAGCATTTCCAATAAAGACCCGTTTCATCGGCATTATAGATTTGTTCTGGCAGCAGATTTTCACTTTTCACAAAACTATCAAAATTGGTGCAAAATTGATCTGATGCTGACAAGTCCCCTGACAATTTCTCACCTTGAATACTGATTTCTCGTATTCCATGACGCTGCTTGAAACGTGTTAGCCAACCGGAAGAAGCGTCAAAACTCCCTTCTAGTTCAAGTGCTTCGAAAAAATATTTAGCTTGTTTAGCACAAACTGGTCCTGTTATTGTTGTTCCCTGTGCCCTTAGTTGATTAAACCAGGTCAGCATCGCTTTGTCGAGATCATCGTATGTTGATTTCTTCATGGTTTTTCTCTTCTTCATTCCGCTTGAATTAGAAGACGAAGCAAAGGAAATTAACTCATTCTTTTGTTTTTTCAAATCACGAACAGTTTGTTCTCCAATACCGTATTGCATTGCTAATTGTTTAACTACAGCTCCTTTTTCCAGCTGATTGATAATTTCAAGTTTCTGTTGAATACTTAACACAACACGCTTCCTTTTAAACCCCGACATTTTGCTAACGCACTTGAAGATCTATATTAAGAAACTGATACTTACTTTCACAATGCACTCTCACACTGAGATGGTACCGTTAAATAACCTGGGGCGGTGTATTTGTCCTTGAAACTTTCCAAAAATTCTTGCATTCTTTCACCCCCACCCTAGAACATTGTGTTCGCATAACGGGACGAAATAATGCAGAGCTCGGTTCACACTAGTGCGAAAATAGTGTTACAACTCACCATGTGAAACAAAAGTGAATGAATATTAAACAACATATAAACTTAAAAAAAAAAGCCCCGGTTAAGCCGCAAACCGGTTAATCCGCCCCCGGATAATCGAGAGTTGACTGTATTATTATTATTTTTGCTTACTTTTGGTGTAGCCTGTTCGATTGCTTTAATAAGGCTGGTGCAAATGGGGCAGTTTAGTTTTCTAATTGTTGTGCCTCGTCCTTTTGGGTTTTATGCCTTGCTTGTCTATTTCTGTATATTGTATGTGAGTTTCTCTTTTCTTATGTTGACTATTAAAAATTGTTATTGTTTGCTTTGAAAGCCGGCACATATGTTATCTCCTCCAGAAATGCTTGGACAACCCGCAACACCCCAAGGAGCTTGCAAAAGCGACAACAGAGCCAGAGACGAGGGATACTCCTCCCGACTTCTTATGAAGTGCTAGTAGGTGATAGTACGAGTAAGCGGTAGGAGGGGAGGGGTGGTTAACATATTAGGCAGATAGAAGTGCACACAGCTGAGCCGTTAATACCTGATCCCAGTATTAAAATGGATCTTTGAGATAGGATGGGATGGTGTTAATTGGATTGAGCTAGCTCAGGATAGGGACCAGTTGTGAACAAGGAAATGAACCTTCGGGTTCCATAAAATGCTGGGAAATTCTTGAGTAGCTGAAGGTTTAGCTTCTCAAGAAGGGCTCAGCTTGATAAGTAAGAAAATAGGTAAGTAAGTATGTATGAAATTTCGTTTCAGAATTATGTTCACTTATTCTACAGTAGCACACAAAGAGATGATTAGGAACTGCTTCTGGGATGTGACACCATGTGATGCAATATATACTGAAGTGCCAGAAGTCAGGGGATAGGTACCTACTATCGTGTAGGACCCCCTCTAGCCCAGCGAAATGCAACAACTCAACGTGGCATCGATTCCACAAGTGGACAGAAGACCTCTGGAGAGATGTTGAGCCATGCCGTCTGGATAGCCGCCTACAACTCCCTGGTATTTGTAGGTGCAGGATTTTAGGTGCGAATGGACCTCTCCACCAAGTCCCATAAATGCTCGATTGGGTTCATGTCGGGCGAACGTGGTGGCCACACCATTCGTCTTAACTCTCCAGAATGCTCCTCGAACCAATTTTGGACAACTCTGGCCCAATGACACGGTGCATTGTCCTTCCGGAATATCCCATCATTGCGGGGGTACATGAAGTCCATGAAGGGCTGCAAATGGTCACCAAGCAGTGTAATGTAGTGGTCACTGGTCACTGGTCAATGACGTGTTTAGGTGGACCAGCAGACCCAACTCATGCCACGTGAACACACCCCACACCAGTATGGAACCACCACCAGCCTGCACGGTGCCTTGTTGACAACTGGGGTCCATGGCCTCATGGGGTCTGCGTCACACCCAAACCATACCATCCGCCCGAAACAACTGGTACCGTGACTCATTGGACCACACCACGTTGCCAATCGTCCAGGGTCAAAGTGACGTCACAAGCCCAGGTGAGGCGCTGTGTCCGGTGTCATGGTGTTAACAGAGGCACTCTGGTCAGTCTTCTGATCCCATATCCCATGGAAGTTAAAGAACGCTGCACTGACCTGCTGGATATGCGTCTGGTACCTCCTGCATTGAATGTGGATGTGATTTCAGCCTGTGTCGCTTGTCTGTTACCACGGACAATTCTAGCTAGACGCCGCTGGTCACAATCATTAAGCACCCGTGGTTGGCCACCGCGCTGTCCACAGTGGGTGGAAATGCCTTCCACAAGGTATACCCGGTACACATGTGACACCATGGATCGAGGAATGTTGAATGACCATATAACTTCAGAAATGGAATATCCCATCCGCCTGGCACCCACTATCATGCCCCGTTCAAATTCTAATAAATCACGTCGGTTTGCCATGAGCCGATTGGCCGGTGTTCAACCTGACTCACAAAAGAACACCTCACAACTGATACTGCTCTGGGCATTCCCAAGCCGTCAAGGGATGGTGGCGCCACTTTAAAATAAATGTACATACTGCTAGCCCATGACTTGGCACTTGAGTATATAAATAGCAACATTCATGCAGAATATTGGTACAGATCTACCACAATGCACGGTGTCACAATCCAGAAAAGTGCTTACTTAATGCATGATAAACAGTCTTACAGGCACGGACACACGCATGTTAACATACAGTTCCTAGTAACAATGGGGACTGTTGTTATGATTAGTGGTCACGGCCATAATTGTTTATAGAGAAAGCAAAATGAAAGATGTCTCTACCATCTTCCAGAAGAAACATGGCTATGTTGCTTCCAAATGGCGGGAAACATGACACAAAATTGTATTTGACAAGTGCATAGGGAAAAACAAAATGGCATGTTTTATAAAACATGAACTCCAAACTTAAGTATGACAATGCACTTCCTCTGTGTTACATCATGCCATCTGCATTGGGGTGGGATCATTCTGGGCAGTACACTGATTTCAGAGAAGCATCCTGCCTCTCCCCACCCCATCGAACTTAAGGAAAACTGAGGTTGATCCAAAGTTGAGGCTCCCAAGTGTCCCATCTCTAATGATACTGTCCACATTTCAAACTGGTGCCCCCACATAGTTTATTCGCACCAATTTTTGTACTAGTGTAGAGCAAGGCATGATTTTCTTAAGCATTTATATAGCCTGTTCACTGAACTTAAGTTGCTTACCCTCTCCACTTACAGACTTCAGTGAAGATGACATAAAGAAAAACTACTGTAATGAAAGAATTCTAAGAATCTTTCTAGAAACACATGATTTATATAGTACTTTATTGCAAAATATTTTAAGTTTTAAGGCATTCTTTTCTAATGTTCTTGCCTTTCTTTTAATAGTTTCTGTTATTGTATCTGTATCAGTTACTAACTTTAAATTCGTGATCTGTGCAGCCTTTGACCCTTCTGTCATGTTTTTCCCCTTCATTCTTCTGTTAACATCCAACATGGAGATCCATGCACAACACAGCTAGGAATATCATTCAGTAATGTTTCAGGGAAGTTTGCTTCTGGCATACTCTAATAATGGTGCACTTAATAATTCCAAAGAATTGCTGAGACATATTTATTGTCATGTTAACATCGCTAAGCAACCAAAATTACTCACTCATTCAAGTTCTTTTATTATCTAAAATAATTTTGCTCTTAGCTGTTCTTTTCTCTAAATGTAATTTTTATTTATAAAGTAAACATTTTCATACTGTATTGATTATGTTATGTAATGCCTCCCTCAAGACTCTTTTTGGACTACTTTTCTTAGGGAAAGTTGCAGGTTTATATTATTTTATTATTATTTATTTATATGGCAAATGGGTTTTTTTCCTGGTGACAGTGGTACTACAATAAGACACATCACACAAAGTAACACACCACACTCAAAACTACACCAACAACAAAAGACATACTAGCACACAGTGAATACAATGAAAATACACTTACAACCATAACAAATACACTTACAACTACAATTATATAAATTAATACTAGCTGTGCCCGGCCACGCCTTGCGGTGGCTCAGTCTGCCTGTTCTTCCCCAGTTTAAATTACTCGACCCATTGCTTCCGCTCCGCGAGTATGACGACCCAAGCTTGTTCTTCTGAGAGGCATTATTTGGATGAACTAAAGCAGATCGATTGCACTGAGGAAGAAGAAAGAAAGTTATAACAAAAACATATGAAATTGCAAAACATTAAAAAGGAAAGAACATGAACTGGAAAACAAAGAAGAAAGAAAAAAATTAAAAATACCGACGAAATATTTCAAATCAAACGCAGATCAATCGACACAGCTCAATCCCACAGCCAATTGCGGTGTCGCCACAAAGTAGAGTATTTCAGGCAAGCATTTATTTCGTCTGCTGGTGTCGATCGAGGAATTACAGGTAATGTTTGCCTGAAATCTCCTGCAAGCAATGTTAATGCATTCCATGCAAATCTTGCAATGCTCGATGAAGAGCCTCGAGTGATTTTTTGTGTGCGATTGTGCATTAATCCCAAACAATAAGTTTGCATTTCTGCAATACCTTTCCCATGCCTGATCCTTTGGAAATATTGCACGTGGGATTTTCAATGAATTGCATGTTCAATGGCAATTTCAAAGCGGAATGTCGCAGCTATTCTGGACGACACAAGAGCTAAGGCTATGTCATTTTGGGATCGAATTGTGGCCAGGATAAATCTAATTAGGAACGTTTTACCAGTTCCTCCTGGCGCATCTAAGAAGATTTCTGCAACCCCGTTATTGACAGTTTGCATTATTTGATTGTAAATGCCTTTTTGCTCAAGCGTTAGCTTAGGAATATTTGATTGCACATATGACAAAAGATCACCCGTGTTGTAATTTTGTTCACGACGCAATTCTACATTGAACGAAGTAGCAGCAGATCGATTCGGTGATGGCATTCCCAATTGAGTGAGAACTTTGTTTGGGATTTCTAAGCACAAATCCTCAATCATTATCAACGCCTCGTTGTAGATTTCTGCTGTGAAATCCATGTTCATATTGGAATTATCCTTGCGCATTTGAAGTAAAATATCTTCAGCCATATGCTGCTTTGTTGATTCCGCAATTCCTACGCAACGACCCATTGTTATTGCGTTGTCTCTGTGTGAACGCTCTGTGTATTCGTCATAACCGTGAAGATTCGCTACAGTATCGCTACTGTTACTTCCTATGCAACGGTCTGTTCTAGTGTTTCCATAGTGGTCACTCTCCTGAATTCCAAATTCCAATTCCGGTTTTCAAAAGACGCATGTTTTTACCTGTCACAGGTGTGATATCTATATAATGGTTATATAAAAGCACGCGTGCGTTCGAATGCAACGTTGGGTCAAAATTTCAAAGCAATCAGTGAAGAACTTCGGAGATCTTCGAGGGCCAACAAACCAACATTTACATTTTTATTTATATAGTTTTATAAAGGAATAAATATACTATACACTACCCAGTAATAATACTGGACTGTGTAACGTCATGTTATGATGCACCCACATTTCACCATGACTTCCCCTTTATTCCACTTCACTGCCTTTTCGGGTGATTTCCCCTATACCTCCACTTCCCCTTATTTATTGCTTTCCTAACTCTTTTCCTAACATTACTTCATTTACAGGAGAGAGTCGGGGGCATGCAGTAGTGTAGTTGGTTGAGGCACTATGCTACAATCTGAAAGGTCACGGGTTCAAGTCCAGATGAGGTCACTGGATTTTTTTCAATTGACCTAATCCTTCCAGCTGCATTATGGCCCTGGGGTAAACTCAGCCTCTAACAGAAATGAGTACCAAAAATTAATTAAATAATTTTCCTGGGGAGTAGAGCATGGCCGGCTCGTAAGGATGACAACCTTACCACCATCTTTGAGCTGATTGGCTAGATAACGTGGGACCCTCAATGTCTGACAACCCTATGGACGTTCATGGCCTGTTACAGGGATAGCTTTACTTTATTACAGGAAAGAGAACTTAAAGCATCTGCAGGTAGGTGTTCCAAAGCTGTATGATCCTATTTACAAAGGAATATTTTCCGATATCTGTCTCTTGCCTTCTGCTCCAAATTTTCCTATCATGATCGATCCTGCTCAGATAGCATGGTCTTTGTAATCTATCGCCCATAGCCTTCCAAGCCCATTCTCCCGTGTACGCTTTGAAGAGTGCGCATATGAAAGCTATCTTTCTGCGCTGTGTCAAGGCTTCCCAATTTGAATCATTTCTATGGTGTGCAAATTTAGTCATGTTTTGAACCCAGTCTAGTGCATTTATCTGTCTCTTCCTGCAAGGATCCCAGCAAGCCACCCCATATTCAAGAATTGGATGCACTAGTGATGCGTAGGCTGAACTTTTAGTGTTACTATTTCTCTTTTTAAGAATTGTAAAATGAGGTGCTCTCCAAGCTTTTATCGCTGTGTGATGTGATCAATATGCAGTCTGACCGATTTTCCTGAAAGGTGGTATATACCTGAAACCACTTCAGTGCTGTATGTTTAATGGATGATAGCAACTTGGTAGACACCACTGGCCACCATAACCACAAGCATACCAGCATGTAGAATTGTAAATGCTCAAAGAGACTTCTGGTGCAATACTGTGAAGCACTATCATTTCATAGCTTCACTTGGTTTTTGTGACTCCTGCAGCCCAGTGGAATTACCCTGATTCAGTGATGAGGAATATTGATACATATTACAAGCCACTGGTGCATGGGGTGAAAAGTTGATAGGTTTCCTGACAGGACTGCCTGCAGGGGAAGTGGATGCGGATGGGTGAGTCTTATACGTAAGCCCATATGGGAAACATGAACTAACCATTTGTGAATGGAAGAGGAATTATGACTACAGAACCCCAGCTGAGCATGTAACCATTTTCTCTGTCTGCATCCCAAGGTGTGGAGACATGCAGACTAAAAGCATAGTAATTCCCTTCTAAGTTCAAAACTTTGTTAATGATTGTAGAACTTTCTCTTACATTCAGAGTGAATGATGTGGTGAAACATTATTTTTAATCTTCTTCACTATAGACCCTTTACCCACCGTGATGTACCACTGTCAATCATTCACTCTTTGACATCTCTTAAGACTGCAAACTTCTGGGACACAAATCTATGAGTCTGGTGCCATATCACAGAAAACAGCAGTCCTAACATTCAGTGCTGCAGGTGCAAAACTTACCTACAGCACTTTCTAAATTTGTACTGTTATACCAGAAAATGACCATTTGCATTATGATACTGAGTGTATCATAAGTGCAAAGTAGCAACACTGAAGGAGAACAAGGACTGAGACTGGTGAAGACAGTGGTAAAAGGGCATGGCCACATAGGAGGGGGTTACAATGTTTCTCTTCTTTCAAGTAGCACAGATAAGAGATGGGAGGTGTCACTCATTAGAACTGTAATATTATTTCAAATGAGACTCTTTTCCAATAGTAGTGTTTACTGGAGACGTGTTTGGTTTCTTTGCCAGAAGAGAAGATAACAATTTATTACAGAGAATCAAGAGCATTTTGTCAGTAAAACTAATGAAATACCCACAAGCATTTAGAAAATGTTAAACATTTATGGAAATGAAGAAATGTGCAGAGCATACAGCATGAGACAACAGATGATCTGGCCAAACAGGAAGTGATTCAAATGTGGAAAAATTACTAAGATTATGAGAAATAATTGTTCAAATAGGGCTGAAAGACATTGAGGGTCCCACATTATCTAGACAATCGGTTCAAAGATGGCGGTAAGGTTGTCAGCCACATGGCTCTGCATTGCCTTCTGCATGTCAGTCCCTCTGCTATATCAGTTACACCAAGCAGCTCTTTCGCTGTGCACAGCATGTGCTCACAATGTGACGTAAAATTTACATACATTAGAAGTTTCTGCACTAGTGGCATGTGAGGTCTCAAAAATAACAACTTCCATTAATGATTACTAACTCAGCTCCCTTGAGTTACTTATGTAGCAGTAATTAATATTGTCATGTGTTGGGTATATGTCACGCGGCGAGTAACTTCACGCCATATGGGATATAGCGAATTTATTGCACATTCGCTCTTACAATCACACAATTTACAATCTCACAATTACTGCCATCAGCAGTATCACAAATTATCACATCAAAACCTTTAACCACGTGTTCAGGTCTTATTCCCGTGACTGCTGCTATATTTCAACTGACTCCTTAGGCAGTGTGGTTCTCTTATAAACCCTCAGCCAGACAATGGGAAAACACCTCGCTTCCTTGTTGCCTAGTTGCTGTGTTTACAGGTGTTGTTGGGTAACGCTGTTGAGAGTTGTTTACTGCTGCATAGCAACTGTGGCATCCTCCACTACGTCACTGCGGGGGAAGGGGCGGAGTGTTCACTGGCCTGTTACCGTAGTGGTGACAGCGCCTGATCTCGTTACATCACCGCTGGTGGGGGAGGGGATGTCCTCCCTAGCACAATACGTCACAATACGTCTGAAACTGAAAAAGGGGCATGCGGTAGCATAATTGGTTGAGGCACTATACTACAAGCTGGAAGGTCCCTGATGAGCTCACTGGATTTTTTTTCAGTTGAAATAATCCTTCCAGCGGCATTATGGCCCTGTGGTCGACTCAGCCTCTAACAGAAATGAGTACCAGGAATATATTTGGAATGTTCTTGGGGGTAAAGAGCGGCCGGCACGTAAGGCTGACAACCTTGCTACCATCTATGAGGAAACTGTCTAGAAAATGTGGTAACCTCAACATCTCACAACCTTATGGGCCTCCATGTCCTGTTACAGGGATACCTTTACCTGTACTTACTAAAACTGAAAGACACACTGCAAAAATACATTTCTTGAAAGAAGACAAGCTTTGCTTCATGCTGGTGGGAATACAGGGTTTAATAAACTGACTGGGTGGATGTGGGTCACTGCCCTGAGGTATATACAATGGGGTACCCAAAAGAAACCGAACTAATATTTTTGTGGGCAGAGCTTTTGTAGTACAGCGTTTTGCCGCTATGAGCGCATAGAGCTAACATTCCTGAGTCGATAAGCCAACTACCGTTGCTTCAGAAGGTAAGGACTAGTTTCGGCAGAGTTTATAGTGACAACTGTTTTGTGTGATCGTCGTTTTTGCAATGGCTGATTTACGTGAACAGCGTGCGGCGGTGAAATTCTTCTGCTT